CCCACATTGTCCCCACGCTGTCCCCACGTGTCCCCACCGTGTCCCCACACTGTCCCCATCCTGTCCCCCTGTGTCCCCACCCTGGCCCCACCCTGTCCCCACACTGTCCCCCTGTGTCCCCACCCTGTCCTCACACTGTCCCCACACTGTCCCCACGCTGTCCCCACAGGAACGCGGCGCTGGACGTGGAACCCGTTTACGCCTTCCGTGGGCACAGGTAGGGGACACCCACCCCGTAGGGGACATCGGGGGTGGGTTGGGGTGGCCTGGGGGGGCTCTGTCACAGCGTCCCTGCCCCACAGGGGTCCCGTGCTGGCCGTGGCCATGGGCTGTGACAGCGTGGGGTGGCCTGGGGGGCTCTGTCACAGTGTCCCCCACCCCACAGGGGTCCCGTGCTGGCCGTGGCCATGGGCTGTGACAGCGTGGGGTGGCCTGGGGGGGCTCTGTCACAGCGTCCCTGCCCCACAGGGGTCCCGTGCTGGCCGTGGCCATGGGCTGTGACAGTGGGCTGTGCTGCAGCGCCGGGGTGGACGCCCAGATCCGCTGCTGGCGCCTGCCCGACCTCGACATGGACCCCTACGACGGCTACGGTGGGTGGGGAGGGGACAGGGGGGGGGGTCACACCTGCTGCTTTCTGACCCTGAGGGGACACGGGGACGTTGGGATGGGGGCGGTGGGGTGCCCAGCCCACGGTGTCACAGAGGAAATGGGGGCAAGATTAGTGGGGTCTGGTTGCTGAGGTGACTGTCCCCAGACCCCGGGGGGCTGAGCGGGGGACATGGGGACATGGGGACAAGGCTGATGGGGTCTGTCCCCATGTCCCCAGACCCCGGGGTGCTGAGTGGGGTCCTGGGGGGACACAGGGACATGGGGACAAGGCTGATGGGGTCTGTCCCCATGTCCCCAGACCCCGGGGTGCTGAGTGGGGTCCTGGAGGGCCACGGGGACGCCGTGTGGGGTTTGGCCTTCAACGCGTCCGGGGAGCGCTTGGCGTCCTGCTCGGCCGACGGCACCGTCCGCATCTGGGACCCCCGGCGCAGAGACGGGGCCTGCCTGGGGGTCTATGATGGCCACACTGGTGAGGGGGGCACCTGGGGGGGCACCTGGGCACCTGGGATACACCTGGGGTACACCTGGGGGAGCACCTGGGACACACCTGGGCATCCTGGGGACACAGCTGGGCATTTGGGGACACACCTGGGGACACACCTGGGTACCCTGGGGACACAGCTGGGCAGCCTGGAACACCTGGGGACACACCTGGGCACTCTGGGGACACACCTGGGCGCCCTGGGGACACACCTGGGGACACACCTGGGCACCTTGGGGACACATCTGGGTACCCTGGAACACACCTGGGACACACCTGGGTACCCTGGGGACACACCTGGGTACCCTGGGGACACACCCAGGTGCCCTGGGGACACGCTGTGACCCCCCCCCCCAGAACACGGTGTCCCCACGTCGGTGACGTTCTCGGCCACGCAGCCGGCCCACGCGGTGGCCTCGTTCCGCTCGGGCTGCGCCGTCATCTACGACCTGGAGGCCGCCCGGCCCGCCCTGGTGCTCGAGGCCCGCCCTGCCCCCGGTGAGTGACCGTCACCCAGGTGTCCCCTGGGTCACCCT